CACACACACACACACACACACACTCTCACACACACACACACACACACTGTCTCACACACACAGCAGATGTTGACGTGGTGGCGTTTGAAAGAGCAGGACGGACTCCTCGCTCGACTCCACGTTAATGAAGGTGTTGAATTGACCAATATTGATCAAAAGAGCCCGGCAGCTCGAGAGTCGCTTAATTTCCCTTTAATTTGCTCCTGGAGAAGCGCTGGGCGCTCGGACCGCAGGAGCAGCAGTAAGTCTCAGAGTTCCCATGAACGCACCTCGTTAAAGTGATGGATTCGGGCCGCGGGCGATCGTCCGGACCTGGGTGGGCATCCACATGTGTCCCGACCCGAGGGAGTCACCTTTATACGCTCGTCCTCTGCAGCTAACACGCTAAACACCATCAGCGCTTTGATCTGACAAACCAATCGCTCATTAAACATTATAAAAGCCTTAGAACAAAACGCTCTTAGAGTAATGTTTATGGAACATTCTTCGTAACGTTGAGAGAAAACATTCTTGTAACGTCCTCATAATGTTATTTGTGCTTGATGAACTTTCTCATAACGTCGAGAAAATGTTTGTAGAACTTCAGTCTCAAAACATTCTTATGATATGTGCTCGAATGTTCTTTTTTGTAACCTTTCAATAACATTATAATCATGACAAGAGTAGGACATTAAATATTCTTAGAATATTAAAAATAAATGTTCAAATAACATTATAGTTCGGGTGAAAATAAAGTTAGTAGAATGTTGTCGGAAACGTAAGAAAACTGGACATTTTAACATTTTATAAACATTTCAAAACAATGTTCCCACAACATTTTTATAAGCTATGTTTATTACCGTTTGTTGTGCATTTGTTCAGTCTGATGAAGCTGAGTGAAAAGCAGTGCTTGTGTGAGATGAGGAGAGATGAATGTGTAGTTTGACCGGCAGTCGCAGGGCAGCAGAAATCACTGTACATTTCATTATAAAAGCGTGTGTGTGTGAGTGTGAAAGTGTGTGTGTGTGTGTGTGTGTATGTGTGTGTGTGTGTGTGTGTGTGTGTGTGTGTGTGTGTGTGTGTTCTGGTTTATTTTTTCCTGCCATCAGCAGCCTGATTAATTTAATATTTTTATTTATTTCTGTTTGTGACCTCTGTAATATATTTGTCCTGCTGTCAGGAGGCTGATGAATCTAGTGATTTTAATTAATTAATTTATTTTGTATTTTTCAGTTTGTGCCCGCTGTAATATAATTGTGGTGCCGTCAGGATCTTGATGACTGTGTCGTACAGCACTGATCCGCACCTGAGCGCTCCTGACGTGTCCGTGTTTAACGCTCCATGGAGTTTCTCCTCGGTTCATGTCATGTGTGACGCGTCTGACCGTTAATCTCGCCGCTCCGCTTGATTTGCGGCCACTGAGCGTGATTTTCTGCCACTAATGGCACATTGTGTTTAAGTTTCTTGTCACGCTGTGTTACCCTGAACGGGAGTAAATCTTGTCATCATACGTCACTCCAGCAGCCGGTACAGTTTCAGAGACATTCCTGCTCTGATTTATCATAAGAAAACGAAAGTACATTATAATCAGATCTCTGTTCGTTTTAAATCAGTCAAATAAAAAACTTCCTAGAATCAAGAATAAGATTCATTCTTACAAGTTAGAGTTTTATTTTGAGTTGCACACTTTTAATGTTCTTATAATAGTTGTAAGAAATGTGTACTATAACCTAAATTTGTTAGCTAGGAATATGCTTGTTTCAATGTAAAATATGGCAGCATTCGGTTCTCTCGTGAGAACAGATTTCATTTTGACCGTAGAGACTTTTCATGTTTTTCTTGTAGCTTCCAGGAGATGGTGACGTACTTCGGGCTCAAACCCAAGTCTGGAGAGAAGGAGGTTTCTCCAAACTACGTCTTCATGCTGTGGTACGAGTTCTGCAACGATTTCAAGAGCACCTGGAACCGAGAGAATAAAAGCATCTACAAAGAGAGGTGAGGGCCATCCATCTCACACTCGCTCGTCTGAGTCTGAAGTTAAGAGACTGAAGCCGTGTTTGGACCCGTCGCATCTTCAGAATAATAGTTCAGCCAAAAATAAAAATGTGCTCACCCTCAGCTCATCCGAGGTGTAGAAGAGTTTGTTTCTTCATCAGATCTGGAGAAATGCAGCATTGCATCAGTGTCTCACTGCAAGTGAATGGGTGCCGTCAGAATGAGAGTCCAAACAGCTGATAAAAACATCACAATAATCCACAGCACTCCAGTCCATCAGTTAACATCTGGAGAAGACAAAAGCTGAAACAGTTCCAGCATTAAGACGTTTTTAACTAAAATACAAGTCCATAATCCATAATAACTCTTCCTCCAGTGAAAAAGTGTTCTGGTGTGAATCAGGAGAGAAATCTGCACAGATCAAGCAGCGTTTAAACAGCTCTAAAACATCTTAATGCTGGAAGTGTTTCAGCTTTTGTCTTCTCCAGATGTTAACTGATGGACTGGAGTGCTGTGGATTATTGTGATGTTTTTATCAGCTGTTTGGACTCTCGTTCTGACGGCACCCATTCACTTGCAGTGAGACACTGATGCAATGCTGCATTTCTCCAAACCTGATGAAGAAACAAACTCTTCTACACCTCGGATGAGCTGAGGGTGAGCACATTTTCAGCTAATTTGGCTGAACTACTCCATTAACGATCTCCCAGAAGGCTCTGTTTAACGGTGCAGAAGCAGTAAAAGCAGAGGGATGTTGTCTCTCAGCGGGTCGTCCTGCTAACTGGACATCACGGGTCGAGGCTAGCGTCATAAATCCAGGCCCGAGAGCTCCTCTCTTTGATGCTCTTCTTATTTTTAATTGTTTTGCAGCGTCTCAGAGATTGTTTTACGGATCAAACTCCTTGCCGATATTCAGCCCTCACTTAGAAATCATTCTCATTCGTCACCGTTGCTCTTGTGTCCAAACATTTACTCGAGAAGCACAAATGCCACGTTTTAGAGAACATATCATCTATCAGTTTATTTCTGTTTCTCGGTAGTGCTTTCTCACTTTAAGCATAAATCGAACAAACTTTAGTGAGGTTTAAAAACACAAACCGCTCAGACTCTACATGCTGCTTTAGTTTGACCTCCATTCACAAAAAAAACATCGTCCGTGTTCATCAGAAGGAGAAACTCGGAAATAAATGTTGTGCGCTTTCATTTTAGACTGAAAGAAGCTCAGCAGACCGTCCAGAAAATCACAGCTGAGAAGAAAGTGGAGACGAAGAAGACCAACGCAAACAGTCTGGTGAGAAACACACAAAGAGATGCTTTGTTTGCAACCTACATTTATTTAAATAAACTGAAAATATTAGTTGTTTTTTTTTTAGGATTTAAAACGTAGTATAAAATGAATGCAAAATAACTTCAAATCAAAGTAAATGAGCGTCCTTTTGACTATTTTATGATTATTGTTAGGTGCTTGTTTTGGCTCTTATATTCACACACAGCAAAAAATAATAATAATAATAAAGTAGAGTTCTATAATCATTTTTTAAATTTAACCTAAGGTAGAATTTCAAAAACAATGCCTATGATCCACACATTATGAACATAGCGAGAAATCAGGGAAATAGTTTGCATGAATTGAAAGTATTAGGATTTTTAAATATTTAAAACGTTGTAAATAATGAACACAAAACAATTTCTGTGACCAATCAGATCAAAAATAAATGAGTGTCATTGATCATCTGAAATATTATAGGTGCACTATGACCGTCTTTGACCATTTTAGGTGCTTTTCAACTTTTTTTTGGACAATTTTTGACTATTTTAGGTGCTTTTCAACAATTTTTAGGCAACTTTTGACCATTTTAGGTGCTTTTCAACTATTTTTTGGCAACTTTTGACCATTTTAGGTGCTTTTCAACTATTTTTTTTACCATTTTTGACGATTTTAGGTGCTTTTCAACTTTTTTTTTTGACAATTTTTGACCATTTTAGGTGCTTTTCAACAATTTTTAGGCAACTTTTGACCATTTTAGGTGCTTTTAAACTATTTTTAGGCAATTTTTGACCATTTTAGGTGCTTTTCAAACATTTTTTGACAATTTTTGACCATTTTAGGTGCTTTTCAAACATTTTTTGACAATTTTTGACCATTTTAGGTGCTTTTCAAACATTTTTTGACAATTTTTGACCATTTTAGGTGCTTTTCAAACATTTTTTGACAACTATTTTTTGACCATTTTTGACCATTTTTAGGTCCTTTTCAACTATTTTACTTCACCATTTAGTTTTTTTTACCAAGTGCTTTTTTACTCTTTTAGGTCATTTCTAGTCGCTTGTTTCCTTCATTTCTGCTCTTACATTCACACACTCAAGAATAATGCAGACTTGAATCATTTTCACACCAAAAACAACACAAATGAAATCTCTTCTGAAGGAGCGCATCGTTTAAAAAGCATAAAAAGGACATTTTTGGAACTCGACAGGCAAATATCTGTTATTGTGGATTGATTGAATTGTGCTTTCAGATTCTTCATAAGATGTTTATTTGAGTTAGGCCTGTTATCCATCATTAGGATCGATTCTCGTGAATGCATGAGCTGATCAAACGTGTGTGCTTTGGATAAAAGCCTCGACCAGATGCATGAAATGGTTTGTATAATTCTCTTTGACAGAAAGAGCGACTGCGAAAGAAAGAAGCCGGCGTTTCGTCCAGCTGAGGACGTGAAGAGCATTTCATCATCAGACACAGGCCTAAAAGTGTTTGGAAACCCTTCCGATCACCACATTTTCCTTCTGCCAAAATGAAGCACTTTTACACTCCTCCTCACCGGTGAAGCCTATGCAATATCCTGCGTTTACGTGCAACTCATATCCATCCATTTGATGTGAGAAAACTACTGAATCATATCATTATTACAACCCTACAGTGAGTGTGTGTAAACGAGTGAGTCACAGCCCTGTTTATTCACAGAATGAAGGATTTATTGAGGAACAGGCCCGGATGTTATTATTACAACTCTATTACAGTGTCAGATTTTATTGACCTTTTTTAATTTGTACATTTATTAGGTGCAATAAATGTTTTGAACATCAGCGTCTGCGAAAGGAGAAACCCGAAGAGAATATGTCTTCTGATTTCTTGCATTTTATTTTTGTGGTATATACATTTAAATCACATTTGATTTGTTTCATTTTGAAAAGTGATAATGCTTTTGACTCACACTTAATAGTTCTGGCAATGCCATGTTCATTTCTAATCATTTTCAAAGACATTCGAAATTCGGTGTTTTACTGTCTTCATTTAAGTGTTGGAAAAACAACTTGCGAAGATGTCTTATTTAACTGCTCAGTGTTGGATTTTCACAGACTTCATGAACGTATTGTCTTGCAGATTTGTAATGATCTGGAATGGGAGTTTCTATTGTTTAATGAAGTTTCTCAAAGCGCCTGCAGTTCCTGCGTTTAATGAGTGACGAGCGTTAAAAAGCTGGTACGTTCAGCGTGGATGTGGTCCAGCTCAGTGCATAAGACACGCGGCGTGAAATTGATTTCTGTGCTAATTTATGAAGCGTTTAATTTGTCAGAGAGAGCGACACCAGGGGTCAAAATGTTTCACCTTTTTATTCACACGATCTTCCCACAGGCTTCATACAAGCACTGCGTCTACATTACACACAACATCTGTACAAAATGTGTGATCATTCGCTCGTCACAGCTAAACTGATCATCTTTAAATAGACGAATAGCATGAAGAAACTCACAGCAGAAGCATGAAGAACAGTGTCTCGTTCGGTCACATTAAATAGAGCCGTTCCACATAGTGGAAACTATCAGTCCTTAAACGCTCTTAATTCTAGATTTGGAGATGAATGAAGGCATCTGTCACCATTACACCACAGAGTTGCTCTGGAAGATCTTTAGCGTACGAGTACTTGGTTAACAATATGTGCATGCATGTTTTCTCAACAGCAAGATCCAATACCTTCAAAAATAAATTGAAAGTATTGGGATTTTTACAGTGAAATCAATGAAATGAGTGCCATTGACCATTTGACATGTTTTGTCTATTTTTAACCATTTATAGGTGATTTTTTGGTGTTCCTGCAACTGAACTTAGTTTGTAAAAGTACAAATACTTCATGCATCCCTTAATTAATGAGCTCAGAAAAAGGCAAGTTTAATAAACATAAAAGAATATTTAAATCTGTTTTGAAACAAGTTTTAAATGAAAAATTCAATTTTTATGTCAACTACCCACATTCACTACTAGTCAACATTTGCATTAGCATTTTTGTTACAGTATTATGAGTTTTAAATATTTAAATAATTTTGGTACAAAATTAAGTCAAAATGAAGTAAATGAGTGTCATTGAACATTTGACATTTTTTAGGCGCTATTTTTAGTTTTTAACTGGTTCTCGGTAATTCTGTAGTGAAACTTTGGTTATAAAAGTACAAATACTTCATGCATCTCTCAATTAATGAGCTCAAAACGCTGCATGTTGAATCATAAAAGAATATTTACATGTTTAAAACACTAGTTTTAGATTAAATATGACACTTTTTATGTCAGCTACCCACATGCACTACTATTTAAAATTTGTATTAGAATGAATGAATATAAAATCATTCCTGTGACCAATCAAATCAATGTAAACAAGTGTCTGATCATTTGACTTTTTTTGGTACTTTTTTTTTTTTTTTACCATTTTAGGTCTTTTTTCCTGCAGTTAGTTTATACATTTATAGGCTAAATACTGCATGCAGCTCTCAATGAATGGTCTCAAAAAACTGCATGTTTAATAATCATACAAAATATTTAAATGCTGTGTAAAGCAAGAGTTTTAGATGAAGTATGACACTTTTTTTGTGAACAACCCACATGCACTGCTAGTCAACAATTTTAGGTGCATTCTGGTGCATTTTTTTTTTAAATAATCCCAGTTAAACTTTGTTTATAGAAGCAAGCATCTTTCAGTTAATGAGCTCATAAAAATGCATGTTTAATAATCATTAACGAATACAACAAACTCTAGCTTTAGATTAAATGCAGTGCTAGTCACATTTTTTAGGTGCATTCTGACCATTTTTAACCATCTTTAGATTTTTTTTTTTTTTATTGGAGTTCAATAATCCTGCAGTCAAACTTCGTTTATAGAAGTACAAATACCTCATGCATCTCTCAATTAATGAGCTCATAAAACTGCATGAAAAAAAAGCTTAGAAAGTAATTTAAAACAGTTTTAGATTAAAAATGACACTTTCCGTGTCAACTACCCACATGCACTGCTACTCGAAATTTGTACAATTTTTGGCCATAATTAAATTTTTTCATCAATCTTGCAGCTAAACTTCGTCCTACAAATAATGCATGCATCTCTCAATTAACGAGCTCGTAAAACTGCATGTTTAATAATCATTAAAAAAATCTTTTAAAGATTAGATTTTGCACGACTACTCAAAATGTGGACACTGATGCCAGCAAATGGGTTTGCAGACTAATCTAAATGGTGCTGGTGTTTCTGACGGTAGTGTGTAATGCTGACAGACGCGTCTCTTCCAGCAGATCAAGCGTGCTCTCGGGTCTAGTCCAGCTCGATGGAGACGCAGCGGCACTGTTTGACGCGCTGCACGCGCTTCTTCCGCGTCGGCGGCTGCTGGTCGGGGCAGCTGAGGGTGAAGGTCATGGTGGTGAAGCGCTTGGGTTTGCAGAACGAGCACGACTGGAACGCACCCTCCTCTCTGCGCACGTGTCTGGGGATGTAGAAGGAGTTGCACTGTCCGTAGCAGAAGCGGTTGATGATGGTGCGGCTGACGCAGCCCTCCTCGTGGATGGTCTGTTTGAGCGGCTGCGTCTTGCACCAGTCGCGCTTCAGGTAGCGGCGCTCGGTGACATGCAGCGCCTCCTGGCTCGACTCCAGAACCTCCTCCGAGCCGCGGCTCCTGCCTCTGGAGCCCGGGGCCGCCTGCTGCTGCTGCTGGGCCGACTCGTTCGGGTTGTTCTTGTCCGGGTGAGGAATCGCGCCTCGGTTCCGCTTGGATTCGGCGGGACTCGAGAGAAGAAGAACCCAGATGAAGAGCACTGCGAACGCCATCCGAGCGGAGGACACTGCATGGCGAGAGAAAATATTCAAGGTAACACTTTATTTTAAAATGTCCTTGTTACATGTTACATGCACTTACTATTATAATAAGGATAAATGATGCATAATTACATGCAACCCTAACCGTATAGTAAGCACATGTACAGGTAGACTTAAATGTATAATTAGGCTACACTGTAACAAGGACACCTTAAAATAAAGTGTAACCACATTCACAAACAGCTTCCTGTTAACTGATGAAAACGTTTTTTTTTTAAGTTCTAAAAACGTTTAGAACGTTCAGCATTTCTCACATTATGACGCTATAGTTTAGAAAACGGTAATAAAATATGAGCAGAACTGTGTCAGAACAAATGAATCTTGATAATGTCAGATAACTTTGATTGAAAACTATGTAATGCATTCGGTTGAATAGCTGTCAGCTGTTAAATTAAACACGCAATTAGATAAAACCAATTTAGCTCAACTAATTACCAAGCAATGCTTCATTTTGTTCAGTCTGTGGTGTAAAAAGATTGCATTAGTAATTAAAGAAAAACACTTCAGCAAAACATGCTCAGCTCAAAGTGTCTGAATCATTTTTTGATCCCAAATTTTGCTGCTAGTCCACTGTATGAAGAGTTTTTAGCTGTAATATTTCAGTGCTTTATTTTGCTCTCCTCACTTACATAAATGAACTATAGTGTCCTGCACGCGCTAGTAAAAAAATATCAAAAATGATATCTAGTGTATGGATAATTGTTGGTTTGAGTGTATGAACAGTAATGGAACGTTCCATTTGATCATTCTGCATACTTTATGGAAATGTTACTTTTGAATGTGAAAACTTAGTGTTCTTTTGCTGTAAATTGTTACAGAGTTCTGTGATGGTCACCAATTTATCCAATACTGACCTTATGGAACAAAAAGTATGGGCTGGATAATGCTATAACATTCATTTATATTTTCATTTGAGATATCAATATATAAAATATAGGAACCTTATATAGCTATATTCATATGTAGCCTAATAATAGTCAAATTCATACATTCATTATTATTAATAATAATAATATAGGCTATATACAATCATTATATATTAAAACCTCAAACTTTAAAAAATATTTACAGAAAAAACATTTTTTTTTTAAGTTTTGAAGATTTTTTCATACATGTATATATGTCAGTTTACGGATCTTGTTAATATTTCAACACTGATTTCTAAGTACTTTACTACAAAAAAAAAAAAATGTTGAAACAGCAAATGACAATATTTCAACCACATCACACACACACACACTCTCTCTCACACACACACACACACACACACTCGCTCTCGCTCTCTCACACACACACACACACACACTCGCTCTCGCTCTCTCTCTCACACACACACACACACACACACACACACACACACACACACTGCCATTAAAAGATTTTGGATAAGTAACATTTTTAATGCTTTTTAAAGAACTCTCTGCATTTATTTGATCAAAAATACAGTAAAAAAAATACTGAGTAGCCTACATTGCACATTCCTATAATTTATTTTATTTATGAAAAAATATTTTTTCGAACTTATGTTTAAAAGTAAAATCTTTGAGTAATGCTAATCAAGTCGTTTTATTTAACCTGAACAAAACCGTCTTATCTCAAAGATGACAGAATCTGTATTTCTGTATAAACGAATCCTTTAAGGAAGAAATACGCTGCTATTAATTTGTTTAACTTTCTAGCAACACATCTGCTCTTGTTTGATTGATTCGGACCCATTAATTCAGTTCATAATTGTTTAGAGTTGGTGTGTTAGTGTCAGTTTATTCTCAGCATGTGTTTCTCCTTTATTCTCTTTCTGGCTACAAAACAACTGACCATAAATATGAACGTATAGTCGTTTATAACACACCCCACCGCGTTGGTTTCTGCCAGATATAACATACATGATCCATGTACAAGAATCTAATAAGCTCTCCTGTCCTGAGCTGTTTTAGTTTGTGTTTTTCTCAAGGCCAAATTCCTTCCAGACGCTTCTTAATGGCGATGAAAGCATTAAATTGTGGTCCATTACACACTAGTGGATGTGTTTGGATCTGTATAGATCTGTCTTCAAGGAAAATGAGGCCAGAAATCTCGATTTTTCTCAATCAGAGCAGCTTGATTGTGTTGCACGTCAAATTGACCCATATTTGATTTTCAAACTGCTTGAAATACTGGTTAAACCTTTTATTTCATCTTGAAATTTGGTGGATGTTTTTAATTTAGGGTTATGAATAAGCATGCAAAGTTTCGACACGTATGTGTGTTTTGGAAAGGCTGTACACAAATTATGACTTTTGTGTTGGGGTCAAATTGTCCCCCGTTGGTTTCCATGCAATTGGCCAAAAATCAACACTCTGAAAAACACTTAAGAATCAGGTAAGAAACAGAAACCATTTATTTTAGTTTGTCAGACACTAAAATATGAAACGCATGAGAACTTATTAAATGTAAGACTCCAAGTGTACTCAAAATTGAGGACTTGTCTTCTGAATCATCCAAGAACAATTCAGTTTCTTTATTTAGTTGAGTTTCACAATCAAAAAAATCAGTTTTTGGTTGTTAGTTTTTTCTAAAAATCTGTTACAGTATTAAAAATAAGCCAGAAACCCATTTCACCCTTACAAGGGTTTGAGAAAAAGACATGACATAAAGGCAGGGAAAGTACGAAGAGCAATAAATACTACTTACACCAAGTATAAATAATATTAGATCATATTTATACTAGTCACTATAATATTTAATGTTTTCTTGTGTTGGTACAGCTAGTTTTGAACATTAAAATATGTGGGTCAAATTAACCCCTAGCACAATGGAAAATAAGACAAATAAATGGGAATTAAGTTTCTCACATTTTATAATTTTTTAGTCTTTGACAAGCTATAATAGAGGTTTTGTTTTATTTAATCGTTCTGTTCTTCATTGTGTTGATTTTTATGGCAAATTGCATGGAAACCAAAGGGGGTCAGCTTGATTAATCATCCACAACCACAAAACTAGGACACATGATAGGAGATTTTATGAAAATATTGATCATGCTATATTGATTATATTGATAAATAATGATTATGCTGATAGAATAGTTTACATTTATCCATTAACTTGAGATTTGACCTCCCGTTCGTGCCAAAATATTGCATTGGTTTCCAGGAGTTTTATCAAATCAGCTTCAAACTGTAATAAACATTTTGAAGTCAAGTTTACTTTTAGCCCCAACTATCTTTTTGCTGTGTATTGTTTGGCAGTAAAACCATTCAAATAGTGTGATGTAAGACCAATGAACTTTAATACCGAATCTTGGTCCTGTAGAACAAAGTGCGCCACCAAGTGGTGAAGAAAGGAACTTCAAAACATCAGAAAAACAGTTTAGTTTGACCACTTCATGTACAAAAGTAGACCAACATCCTCATAAATGAGTGAAAAATAACAACAGCATTGAGGATAATCGCATAAGACCATAATACTGCTTAACATACATTTCCTTGAGTTACACCATGAACGTTGTCTTTCAGGCCTTTTGAATGAAAATCAAGCTTTTGCATAAAACATAAATAACAGTAAATAAGCCACTTCGCAAATCCAACCTTTTCTGATCTAATCTACAAACATCCATTTTCACTCTGAATACACTCATGAACTATTCTTGCATAAACATCACTCTTCACACTTTCACGGACTCGTCTTTTCACTTACAGCAAAACTAATAGATAACCGAGCATATTCTAAAATTATGGATTTCAAATTCGTGACCTCAAATCACATTGGGTTTGCTTCTCGTTTGACGTTCAAACCAAAGCGACCCTGAAATCCAATCCATATGCTGAAACAAATTGAGCAATTTTCTCATAATGTAAAAATATCACTCACCTGTAAAATGATCAAAGCCCACCTTCGCGAAATAAATTAAGACCCCTGAATGCAAGAGTTCAAAAACATCTGCAGAAGAAAGTTTAAAGTTATGGCGACTTATATATCAATGGGTTTCATCGCTGACAGCAGCCTTCCCTCCATAAGAGGGTTTTTAGGTGAACCTCTATAGCGACTGGTATCGTTTTCAGACACTTGAAGCAGGACAGACTTGGGACACTCATTTGCTGCATTCTTATTGGCCGAAAGCATGTCACACTTTGTCTTTGGTGCTTTATTGGTGACGTCCTCCAGCGCTTTGACAGCTGCTTTCTTTGGAGGAACTGGAGGTTTGGGTTTCGAGGACGTTTGCAAACCACTTTCTAAACTTACAGCCTTTATCCGACTGGCGGCGCACCAACCCATCCTTGTGTCCTTCCGGCCTCCGATCAAAGAGTTTATCCTTCTGACGGACTGTCGGACCGGCGTGCGCTGGAACTTCAGAGGAGAGCGGAGCGCTTTGGCGTTGGGTGAATTCAGCGTCATCATGTTGAACAGTTTAATCTGGTCGGCAACTCTCATTCGGCGCGTTTCAGTGGCTCCAGGATGGTTCTGTGGCATCTCCGCTTGATCTTGAGGACCGTCGGTCTTATCTGTTAATAAAGACTCTTTGAGCTCGCTCGGCAGGGACGTATTGGCATTCGTTTGCGTTGTTGCATACGGAGTTGATTGAACTCTGTTGGACGTCTCCAATCTGAAAGCCACAGGACTTCGGATGTCTAAAGCATCGATCAGTTGACTGCAGTCTCCAGTGGCATTATTTAGGAAAGCCCTGCTTTCATTTTCAAGACAAAGAGACCCGTCAGGGCTGGTCTCCACAAACTGTGTCGGTCCGCTGTCAAACAGAGCGCTGTCTATATGTAGAGGCGACAAAGGAACGATCTCGATTTGACCAAACGTCACATTGTGATCATCCGAGTCACTGGATTCGGACATCGATTTGTGTGAGGTTTCCGAAGGCAAACCCACGTCAGATTTTGCGCCAGGGCTGTCTTGCGGTTCGTCGTGGTTCTGCGGTTTAACGATGCTGTGAAGGTCACTGCCAGATTTGCCGAAAGCGTGCTTGATTTTCAGTAGCGTGGGTCCAGTGTGAGAGCGTTCTTCGCTGAATGAATCCGAGGCGCTGCTGTCACTGGAGGCGCAGCAGAGGCGCTTGGGAATGCTGACCATCGCAGGTTTGCACACGATGACGGTGGGCTCGGAGCGGTAGCTGCTCTTCAGACAGATGCTTACGGGAGTCTCCGAGAAGGAATCCCGTGGGAAGGTCAGGCCGACGTCAGGAGTGTCTCCGCTCCACGAGCTCCTGTGGTCTGTAGAATCACACTGCGGGGTCAGCAGGTTATCCTCGGATTTACTGATGAACTTGGAGCCTGTGAAGCAAACGTGGACAATATAACAATATTCTCACAGAAAACACAAAATAGACACATCTATGTTTTTGAAAAGTCTCTTCTGCTCATCAGTGCCGCATTTATTTGATCAAAAATACATTAA